GATGGATGGATGGATGGATGGATGGATTCAATGTCAGGCAAACCAACAAATCTTCCGATTGCTGACTAAAGTGAAATTTAACATAAGCATTTCCACTATCGGGGTGGGGACGGTTCTTTCTACATAGACATGGCAGTTTTTCATGGTCAGTTTTAAAACTGAAACATAAAAGAAATGCCGTCCTATTTTAACTCCGAGCTCCTACAATCTCTTCCAAGTCTCACCGTAACTACCACTGTCCCAGAACATCACTTGACCATAAAGCTATAGCTAACCCTAACCCTGCTTTCAGACCTGCCAAACAGGGATATTAAGTAAATGGCAGGGATGTGTCAATGCCCGGGAGAGCCTCGTGCAAAAAAAAAAAGAAAAAGAAAAGAAAGATGCTAGCTCAGCGACATGGCAGTCGCCTCTTAGAAGAGTAGGTCTCTCACAGCACCTTCACTCCCCCTCCCCACCCTCCCCACCCTCCTCACACCCCCACTTCCCTCTCATTGTTTGACTCTATCTGTCTGGCTTTCCATCCCTCTCTCCATCCTCTCATTTATTTGTCTCTCTCTTTTCCTTCATGGTTTCCTTCTTATTGATTCCCCTTCACTAGTCCTCCTCCTCTCTCTCTATCAGTAAATCACTATCCTGACAGCTCTATCTGTATTCACTTCCATTGGTCACAGGGACACACATGTGCGCGCGCACACACGTGCGCACACACACAACACACACACACACACACACACACACACACACAACCGCGCCATTCAACAGAGTGCCCTTGTCCGCTCCGTTCTGCAGTTTGATGCTATCACTCTCTGTCAGCTCTCCCCTTCATCTCCGCTCTTTTCTACTCTCTTCGCTGCCTCTCAATCACTTTTTTTTCGCCTCATATTTCATCGGTAAAATGAAGCTGGTCTTCGGTTCTAAATATTTTTTTCCCACAAAGTCTCTCTTTTTATTGGTTTGTGATAGATATTTTGTCAGCCCATCGGTTTTTGGGTCATGCAACAGCAAGCAGCGAGGAGAAAAAAGGTTATTTTGTGTTAATATTCGATGTATAAAGACATTTTCTTTGACAAATAGAATAACTACTTGGATTTAGTTTTAGTTTTTAAAAGGCAGCTAATTTTCCAGTAAGTAGGGACTTGGACAAGAGATTTTTCTACTTGGAATTTTCCGACTGAGTCTAAAGTAATACCAACTGTAACCTGACAAAATAAATGTAACTTATGGGAAAGAAACCTGTAATGCTAAGGTCAATATGAATAACGCCAGAAAAGAAATAGTAAAAACATGGGCTATTTTAAGTCAAAGCTGGTATGAATAGAGAAACCTTGCCAGACAGCTACGTCTGAAAAAACAAGCCAGTTTGAGTAAATTATTGGTAGAGGTCAAAGAAGATCTGGCCAACCGTGGGCTTAAACGATCAAATGAAAGTCTGACAGCAAAGTTGGACAACATCCAAGACCATATGGACACATACAACCTAACAATGGCTGACACCATAGGTTACTGTATGAAAAGAGGTCTGTATTACGACTCTGGACCGGATCCAGAATCTGTGTGTATGGCTAAACTCTGCCAGCTGCTGCCTGCTGATGGACAGGACCAGAAACAGGAGGGAAGAAGAAAAAGACGAATTCAAATGGTTTACAGGAGCTCTGTTAAATATAACAACAATGGAGCTAACACTTGCTTCGTAAGAGAAAAAAACTTGGAGTAGGATGATTTGGGAAAAGGGAAAATCAAAGTGCTAACTGTGCAAAAAGCAGCAGTAATAAATGAGAAGAGCAAAACATTTAATGGAAATTACATTTTGGCCATTAATCACTCAGATTTGACTTGAGCAAGTGTTGATTCAAACTGCACAATCTCATTCAGTATCAAGAAATCCACTCTATTTTTCGAATGTTTCCAAATAGTTAAATTCACTAAACGCTCCATATTATATCCGTGTGTTCAAATGAAATCAAACCTTTCGGAAATGATCACAAATAACCAGGGATCTGAATGTAGTTAACTACAATGGAGTTAATAGGTTGTAAAAACCCGAAATGGATAATCCTGATTTGTCAGCTCTGACACCAGCTGGACAACTCCAGTGTGAGTGTGTGTGTGTGTGTGTGTGTGTGTGTGTGTGTGTGTCTGTTTAGCATAAATCTTTCATTAAAAGGCCTCACCTGTCAAACATGCTGTGTGTCTTATTGAACTAAAACTCCTATAATACCTCTGACAGTCTCCCAGCTGAGCTCAGTACACACACAAACACCACACACACACACGCACACACACACACACACACACACACACACACACACACACAAACCAGGGAAGCAGGAGCTGTTCAAAATTGCCACATCAGAAATGAACGCCAAATGAGGAACATCACATAATGTTCTTTTTTTCCTCTTTTGTTCTGTTTTGATTTGATTATGCTCAATCAAATCAAATGACATTTACTGTATGACTGACTTGTTACATCATGTGGTCTTCATGTCTAAGCTTAATATCTATTCCTACAAAAACAAACAGTTAGTACTTATTACTATGATGCGTTTACTGAACATCCTGATCAAAGCGTATCATCTATTTCTATCTTTTGCAGTTTTATTGACCAGCCTCTCACTAAGTATATCCTATTTTAGTGTGGAATAACATTTCTGCTACAACCCCACATTATATATCCCTTGAATGCAGTGTAACCAGCTCTTATATTATTTCGATTTGTATTCAACACAGGCTTTTAAATGACTGATTATAGGTAAAATAATACGATATGGTTCTGCTTTCAGGACAAAATCAGGAGGGATTAAAAACCAATACATCATTTATTAGATATGGCCATCTTTGATTAGCTATATACTTGTCATGTTTAAATTCTGTTTAAAAGTGTTGTATTACAGCATTATGGTACATCTAATTATCTTCCAATCAGCAGTAACATTTATTTTTCATTTATCTGAATGTTCAAAACAGACACACACATATAACGACAATCACCTTCTCTGATATTAACACCAATTGGTCCTAATTAAATGAGCCCCACACAAGCCTGGTCTGTTTATTATTAATTACCCTTTCTCTCTTCCTGTGTGTGTGTGTGTGTTTGTGT